GACTCCTCCAACCCCGCGGGCGACTCCATCAAGGCCAACTTTATGGCCCAGGTGCTTGCTGCCAAGGCCAAGAAGGAGGCTGCTGCCAAGGGCGATGCTAAGGAGGAGGTGAAGGATGAGAAGAAGGATGAGAAGAAGGAGGAGGTTAAGGAGGAGACCAAGAAGGAGGAGACCAAGCCTGAGCCTACCAAGGAGGTCAAGGAGGACAAGCCTGTCGAGAAGACTGAGCCCAAGGAGGAGCCTAAGCCCGAGGTCAAGGAGGAGGTTAAGCCTACTGAGGCCGAGACCAAGGTCGAGGAGAAGCCTGCTGAGACCGAGAAGCCTGCCGAGACCGACACCAAGACCGAGGAGAAGATCGAAAAGAAGGTTGAGATTGTGGAGCCCAAGGACGAGGAGCCCAAGGACGAGTCTGAGAAGACCGACGAGCCCAAGGAGCCCAAGGACGAGTCCGACCCCACCAACCCCGAGGAGGCCACCAACCCCGTCGAGAAGATTGCCGAGACGATGCGGCTCAAAAAGCGGTTTGCGCACTCGTGGAACAACGCCGTGCCGCTCACCGCCGAGGAGATCTCCCAGAAGGTCACCTACCCCGAGCAAGTCTCCAAGACGCTGATGGAGGTCTCTCCCGCGCCTCGCTTCCGATACAGCCTCGATTTCCTGCTGCAGTTCCAGCCCCTGGTTACCGAGCAGCCCCCCAGCGGCCTGGAAGGCGCCAAGGCCATCACCGAGGACTGCAAGGGCTCCAAGGCTCCCCGGGGAGCTTCTTCCAGAGGTCCTGGAGGCGGACCCAACCAGCAGATGGGCTCCTTCTCCAACTTTGGCCGAGGCGGACCCGGCGGACCCGGAGGTCGAGGTATGCCTCGAATGGGCTCCTCGTCCAACATGCGAGGCGACCACGGAGGACACCACCAGAGCCACCGAGGCGGCGACCGAGGCGACCGAGAGGGCGGACGATCGACGCGAAACAACTCGTCGCGCAACCGCCGAAACCCCAGCAACCGAGACCGGTACCCTCCCCAGGGCGCCAACCAGGAGATCATCGAGTACGTGCCTCCTCCGCCCAAGTCGGAGAACTCGTGGGCCGCGAAGCGACTTGCAGCCAAGAAGGAGACGACTCCCGTGCCTGCCGAGGACGGCGAGGAGGAGGAGACCCCCCGCATCCCCCCGGATGTCGTCCAGAAGAAGGTCAACTCGATGCTCAACAAGATGACGCTGGAGAAGTTCGACAAGATCTCGGACCAGATTCTCGACATTGCATCGCAGTCCAAGCACGAGCACGACGGCCGCACGCTGCGGCAGGTGCTGGAGCTGACGTTCGCCAAGGCCACCGACGAGGCCCACTGGGCGTCCATGTACGCGCGCTTCTGCAAGAAGACCATGGTCACCGTCGACCCCAACATTTACGACGACGACGTCAAGGACAAGAACGGCGAGTACGTGCGAGGCGGAGCGCTCTACCGAAAGTACCTGCTCAACCGGTGCCAGGACGAGTTCGAGAAGGGCTGGGAAGACAAGCTGCCCACCAACGAGGACGGCTCGCCCATGGACCCCGACAATGCTACGCCCGAGTACGACAAGGCTGTCGTTGCCAAGCGACGAGGCCTCGGTCTCATGGTCTTCATCGGCGAGCTGTTCATGCTCAACATGCTGTCGGAAAACATCATGCGATCGTGCCTCACGCGGCTCATCTCGCCCAAGGAGGGCGCGTCCGAGGAGACCATCGAGTCGCTGTGCAAGCTCACTGCGACCGTCGGTCTGCGAATGGACGAGTCGCCCAACTCCAAGGCATACATGGACATGTTCTTCCAGCGGCTCACCGACATCAAGGCGTCTGGCACCCTCCCCTCGCGGCTCAAGTTCAAGATCATGGATCTGCTCGAGATGCGGGCTGGTGGCTGGAAGCAGTCCAACGACCAGGGCCCCAAGACCATCTCCGAGATCCAGGACGAGGCCGAGGCCGCCAAGGCCAAGCAGCAGCAGCAGCAGGACCGCGACCGATCTCACCGAGGCGGAAACCAGCGACGAGGAGGCCACCCTATGGGCGGACGATCCGAGTCGTACCGAGGCGGCTCCGAGCGAGACCGAAACACAAACTCGCTCAACACCGGCGACCTCAAGCAGTTTGGCAAGATCCGGTCGGACTCGTCCAACACGTTTGGCCCCCCTTCGTCCATGATGGGCCGAGGCGGCTCCAACGCGTCGCGAAACTCGTCGCAAACGTCGCTGCAGCAGCAGGGCCGCCAGAACAGCTCCTCTCCGGGCATTCCGCTGTCCAAGGACTCGTCACGGGCATCTTCCAAGCGTGGCAACATTTTCGAGCATCTGATGGGTGATGGGGATGGAGAGGAGGAGAACTAGGAGAGGGTCAAGCATTGAGTGTAATTCAGCGACACTTGGTCGTGTAGTAAAATTATATAGACAAAATGCCCGCGGGCTGACGATTGCAACTCGAGGCGTAGCCGAGAGTCTGTGGCTGTATCTCGAGGACGAAGTCCGAGAGTATGTAACTGTATCTCGAGGACGAAGTCCGAGAGTATGTAACTGTAGCACTCGAGGACGTACTCCGAGAGCATGTCCTTGTAGGGAACTCGAGGACGTACTCCGAGAGTAGCACTGTAACTGTAGGGGACTCGAGGACGTAGTCCGACAGCTGTAACTGTAGGGGACTCGATTCAAGAGCTCTTAGGAGACTTGAGGACTTATGAGAGTCCTCGAGCCTTACTGTAGTTCTTGAGGATGTAGTCCCAGATCATGTACTGTAGTTCTCGAGGACGTAGTCCGAGAGCATGTACACATACTGTAGCACTCGAGAACGTAGTCTGACTGTAGTTCTTGAGGGTGTGGTTTTGGAGGACGTAGTCCGAGAGTATGTCCCTACAACTTTAGGGGACTCAAGGATGTGTCAAGAGCTCTCAAGAGACTCGAGGCGTAGTTCGAGAGTCTGTTGCTGTATGTAGGAGACTTGAGGACTTAAAATGAGAGCCTGTTCTGTAGAGCGAACTTGAGGGCAAAGCCCGAGAGTCTGACCGTAGGACGAGAGTCTGTAACTGTAGGACGAGAGTCTGTGACTGTAGTGAGATCGAGGACATAGTCTGAGAGCCTGTGACTGTACAGCTGTGATTACTGTAGGATGTACTCTGAGATACTGCAATCTGGAGTTGTATTAATATGGAAGTATAGGTATTAATATGGAAGTATAGGTATTAATATGGAAGTATAGGTATTAATATGGAAGTATAGGTATTAATATGGAAGTATAGGAGACAGTGAAGTACCATTAGTACCCTCCCCGTACGCGTGCTAAGACTGTAGAGTCGTGTGGAAGGTAAGAAGGACAGCCCGAGAGTCTGGGCCTGTGGAGCTGTATTCAAGAGTACCGTAATCTAAGGAAGCTGTATCGAAGACTACTTCTCCGGATTCTACTTCGACTGTAGAGCTGTATCAAAGACTGTCTGGATACTACTACAAGCTTGGTAGCACCACAATTTTTCGTTGTACAAAAATTTGCGGTTTTGTAGCGTGAGACTCTGCGACTGTGTACATGCTGACACAAGTAGTAGTTACACTCTTACTGTGAGTTTCACAGCTGACCGATGCTCTCTATTCTGCCGTGGTTTATGCTATAGCCACAGTAAATCGTAGTTTATGGCATTAGGTACCCGTAGTTCCCAAATTTAAAGGTGTCTAGAAAGAGCTCTGTTCATTACAGACACTCGTAACAAGAACCAAAAGACTCGTATCATCCAGGGCTTTCATGTAGTATGCTATATGACCCTTACTGAAGACTCCTTGGTTCTTTTCCAGGATTTTTTGCAGGTAGTTTATGCGAAGGAAAAGACCTCCAGCGGGTGAAATATTAGTTATATAGAAAGTATTATAATTCCCCGAGATTCTTCTGACTCTGAGCTTTACGATGGTATCCTCCTCTCTTCCATACCATTGCATACTAATCTTTACCAACAGATTCTAGATTTTCAGGAAAATTAAAACATGTATATCTAGAGATCTATTGATACGATTAACTTGAGAATAAAGCCAAAAGACTCTTTTCACTCAGGGCTTTCAGCTGGTATGCTATATTACCCTTAGTGACAACTCCTTAGCTCTTTTCTAGGATTTCTGCAGATAGTTGATGCGGTGAAAATGGCACCAACAGGCGCATTATTGGATCTACAGAACAAAAGATAGTGCTCCAAGATTCTTCTGAGTTGGAGCTTCACAGTGATATTCCCTTTCGTTTAGTATTATTGCAGGACAATCTTTACCGACAGATTCTAGATTTTCGGGGAAACTGAAACTGGGATATCTGAAGATCTATTAATACGATGAACTTGAAAATAGAATCACAAGACTCATCTCATTCTGGGCTTTCATATTACATTGATCACATAGCCACCCTTTGCTTTCCCAGGCTTCTTGCCAGTAATCTCAGCATTGAAGACGTCCAGAAGATGACATATTGACGATAGAGACGTAAAAGAAGTATCAGCTGGTTATTATACATTTTGAGCTCTATAATTATATAAGTCTTTACCGATTCATCTGGCAGGCTGTGTTTAGTTACCCCGTAGTTTATGGCATAAAGAACCCGTAGGTACTTTACAGCGATAAAACAACTAACAACAAGCACCAGCTAGATTGTTCTTCAACCTGTTAATGATAGATGTGTTAGGAAAGGAGGCTCAACTCCTGGCTTCATCGGGATCACAGCCTGCAATCGAGCACATCAGACGCTTGCAACCAAGAGAGCTTGAGTCACAGGGACTTCGAAAAGAAAAACAAATGAGTTAAATAAATACATATTTTAATTATTCTAACATATTGTGCCTTCCATAGCTCTCCCTATACCCACACCTCTGGACCTAACACAAAACCAGTCCTGCGCCATCACTATGACTCAGATCGAGTTCAAAAAAATATAGTCATGGCCTCCAACACGCACGCAATCGGATTAGCAGCTCCTTGAAGCAAAAAAAGAACAAAAATTCGCCCAAAAACAAAGGTCGTGCCCGGGTTCGAACTGGGGTTCTCAGAAAATCAACCTCTCGATCAAAATCTGACGTGATGACCACTACACTACACAACCGAAGCTTATTTTAGACTATGTTTGAATTAACTTTGAGGCTCGTCTAAGTCACGTGACCCCGATTTTTAGACGCTTTAAAACTGCTAAAGGAGTGGGAATCTGGTCGTTCGAAAGGGACAAGGGTGTTTTCTAGAGCGTAAATTTTCTTCTAGATACGTGTTCGTAAAAAAATTACCTCTATTTGGAGTTCTACGTCCGTCCGAATTTTGGTGAAAACGGGTGAGACTGGACAATGACAAGGGTCGGTGTTTAGACCTGAAATCGTGGGGTAGCTTTTCGAAACGTACTATTTCGTTGTCTTTAGTCAATAATATCAATTTATCCAGTACAACCACCTAGAATCTAGAGAAGCAGAGAGCCTAGGAGCCTCGGTTTATCCGATCTATGAGTCTGGTGTACAGTAACCGTAGTCATGGAAGAGAGGAGAAGCGACATAGAAGATCTAGGCCTGAACTAGGTCATAGTTAATTGATGCGTATTCGGCTATTGAGTTGCATGACTGTTGTCTAGCCCCTGTCCTTCCCTGCATATGTCACGAGGGCGTAAGGCACGATACTCTTGTTTGGTCTCTCTGTTTCAGTGCATCTAGAGCCATTGAAACGTGTGGTGCACTGTTCTGATCTTTCAATTTCTTCAAAACAACTGTACAAGTCCTTTTGTTATTACTGTACACATACAGACTCTCCATACAAGTTATAGCAAGTTATAGACTAACGAAGTGTGGGGTTGGTTTTAGCGCCACTAGCCGCGTAAGCCTCGGGGACACAGTTTCGGAAACCCGATCCTTTCTTGTTTTATAGCACCAGGGGCATGGTTCACAAAGAAAAGAGGAGCTACCCCAGCTTTTTTGGTTACAAATAAACTTGGAGACATCTCTTTAGGAAAGGGGCCCGTAGCACAAGCGGATAACCGTTTCGGGACCCGGTGAGTTGAAGGACGTGACTTGGCAACGCTTCGGATTCCATGTATTAATTTCTACCAGCTTCATGTTACACCAAGTCTGCTACCTTACACACTTCTCTGTGCTACCGGTACTGGAAAGCTTCAGGATTAAAGATGTAAGGCTGACGACTGTAAACATGAGTCAGAGCTACGGCTCCAAAAGGAGAACCCGCATTTAGACCGACTTTTATCTATCTTAGCCGCAGGAATGCTCGTTATAGTCTATCTTAGTCTCATCTATACGAACCATTGGGGTACAAGGTCCAGATCATCAGTACATATATAAAGTCCACTGTTGCGTAATTCTCCTCTACTCAATGAAGAATTGGCTCAATCCGAAACAATCACGAGAAGTCAAGACTTCCTTTGCTGGCCTCCGAGGTCAGAGACTTCACCACTATGTTGCAGCTGTTGCTGGTATGGGCTTCCTGCTCTTTGGTTATGACCAAGGAGTCATGGGAGGACTTCTGACGCTTCCTACTTTCATTAAGCAGTTTCCCAAGATGGATACTTCCGACTACTTACCGCCTCAAGTCAAGTCTTTCAACACCACTGTTCAGGGAACTGCTGTGGGTATTTACGAGATTGGCTGTATGATGGGAGCCCTTTTCACCATGTGGGGAGGAGACAAAGTCGGTCGACGATACATCATCTTTTACGGCTCCATTATTATGACTATCGGTGCTATTCTTCAGTGTGCGTCTTATTCTCTTGGTCAATTCATCACAGGTCGTGTGGTTTCTGGCGTTGGCAATGGATTCATTACTGCCACTGTCCCCATGCTTCAGTCAGAGTGCGCCAAGCCTGAGAAGCGAGGAAAGCTGGTGATGCTTGAGGGAGCTCTTATTACCGCTGGCATTGCTCTTTCTTACTGGATTGACTTTGGTTTCTACTGGGTTCGAACGAACGATGCAGACTGGCGTTTCCCTGTCGCCTTTCAGATTGTCTTCTGCATCTTCCTCTTCTTCACAGTCTTGACTCTCCCTGAGTCGCCTCGATGGCTAGTCAAGAAGGGTAGATTTGAGGAAGCTGCTGGAGTTTTTGCTGCACTTGAAGATGTGGACATTGACGATCCCTACGTTGTCAGTCAACTGACTTATGTAAAAGAGTCCATCATGTTCGAACAGTTGGCTCAAATGGGAGTCGAGGGAGATGCTGCAAGACACAAGATCCTCACTGGCGAGTTCACCATGGGAGCTGAGTTGCCCTTCCTGAAGCAAATGAAGCTCATGTTCACGTTTGGCAAGAAAAAGAACTTCCATCGCACAATGTTGGCCTACTGGAACCAGGTGATGCAGCAGATTACCGGCATCAACCTCATCACGTACTACGCAGCCTACATTTACGAGACTTCTGTGGGCATGAACGCTACCAATTCTCGAATCCTGGCAGCCTGTAACGGAACAGAGTACTTTTTGGCTTCGTGGATCGCCTTCTACACTATCGAAAGGTTTGGCAGACGCAAGCTGATGATCTTTGGAGCTGTCGGCCAGTCTGCTACCATGGCTATTTTGACAGGTTGCGTGTATGCTGCTTCAAAGCCTGAAGAAGGAGGTCTGAACAATCCCAAGGCCGGTATCGCTGCTGCAGTCTTTCTCTTTGTGTTCAACACCTTCTTTGCTGTAGGCTGGCTTGGTATGACTTGGTTGTACCCTGCAGAGATCAGCTCTTTGGAGATCAGAGCGCCCGCAAACGGCCTGTCGACGTCTGGAAACTGGGTCTTCAACTTCATGGTGGTCATGATCACGCCTGTGGCCTTCAACAACATCAAGTGGAGGACGTACATCATTTTCGCGTGTATCAATGCAGCCATGGTTCCAGTTGTGTACTTTTTCTATCCCGAGACTGCAGGTCGGTCCTTGGAAGAAATCGACCAGATTTTTGCAGACTCAAACCCGAGAACTCCCTGGGATGTTGTTTGGATTGCCAACCGGCTTCCTAGACACACGGCTGCCGACGACTATCTTGAGCAGCGAGTTTTCGAAGACAAGCCTAGTGTTGAGCATTCCGATGCTGGTTCTGCGGAAGTTGAAGGTTTGCACCATGATGCTTCAGAGAAGGTTCCTGAACGTGTTCCTGGAGTATAGTCGTGTTCCTGAATGACCCCTATCGTATAGTCGCTATCTATAACAATAATAATTAAAGTGTAATTCGTCTTATCTAGAAGCTGTCAAAGTACAGTACAAGCACCACGGACACATGCCAAAAGCGATGTCAGACATATATATACACCCTTACACAGATGACTCGGATCAACTGACACGGCTTTCGCTTGTGTGACGTTTATAGTCGGTTTATGACGTCATAGGAAAAGGAAGTATCGTAAAAAACAGAATAAAATGAATAAAAAATAAAAGCCAGCAAAAATCACTCACTCAACAGCCCCACAACTAACTGACCCCCACAACTTGGCTTGCTCGGTATGAGTCTCGCCTGCTAAGTGAGACCTCCGTGGTTGCAGAACTCTAAGGAACAAGCGAAGCAAAAAACGGACGTTTGTCGGACAAGAGGCAACGCCAAGACGCACCCCTGGAATGCAAGTTTTTCCGGGGGATTTCGATTTTCTAACGGCATTTTCCATAGTAGACACTTTGCGAGACTTGACCAACAACCCTCCTACAACTCAACGGGCACGGCTGATTACCGTGCAGGAAATGTGGGGTAGAGTTTTCGCCTTCGGGTGCTCTCTTCTCCAGACTTTACACAAGACAAAGATACGATGCATTCGGGAAGCACTGTTAGAGATGCCGCGTCTTTGTTGCAAACGTCGAAAACTGCCTAGATGGGAAGCCGATCGGGTGTCGTATTCGGATCCGCAGCGGAAGTGAGTGGCCGAAGGTCACCAACGGACAACATTTTATGAAGATTTATGAAGATTTGAGAGACTTTTGGACGTTCTGACAAAGTACATACACGTCTGTTATGATCAAAAGAGCCAGTTCACTATTTTCATCGTACAACTCCCAACCTCTCTCTTACGATCTACTCTCTCTTTCCTCTGCATACGTCAACTCTACATCCGTAAGTCACGGCTTCTGGATTGGGAAGCCGACTTGGACGCTTGGCAAGAGTACCCCAGATAAAACCGCTGTTTCTCAGCGCCTCAACGCTTGGCACGAGGCGGTATCGTGCGATCAGAGCTTGGCGTGGGGTGCCCTTCTTTCTATATAACCCGCGGGAGCAGTCTCTAGACCCCCATCAACCATCGCTATGAAGTGGCTCGTACCATCATCCTCAGGCGAGGTCAAAACCTCCTTCATGGGCTTCCGAGGCCAAAGACTCCACCACTATGTTGCTACCGTCGCAGGCATGGGCTTTCTGCTCTTTGGCTACGACCAGGGAGTCATGGGCGGTCTGCTCACTCTTCCCTCCTTCGTCAAACAGTTCCCCAAGATGGACACCTCCGACTACCTTCCTCCAGACGTCAAGTCGTTCAACACGACGATTCAGGGCACTGCCATCGCCATCTACGAGATTGGATGCATGATGGGTGCTCTCTTCACCATGTGGGCCGGTGACAAGGTCGGCAGACGGTACATCATCTTCTACGGCTCGATCATCATGACCATTGGCGCCATTCTGCAGTGTGCCTCTTACTCTCTGGGCATGTTTATCACCGGCAGAGTTGTCTCTGGAGTCGGAAACGGCTTCATCACAGCTACAGTTCCCATGCTTCAGTCCGAGTGTGCCAAACCAGAGAAACGAGGAAAGCTCGTCATGCTGGAAGGAGCTCTGATTACTGCTGGAATCGCTCTCTCATACTGGATTGACTTTGGCTTCTACTGGGTCAAGGCTAATGACGCTGACTGGCGATTCCCCGTGGCTTTCCAGATCGTCTTCTGTCTCTTCCTCTTCTTCACCGTGCTCACTATTCCCGAGTCTCCCAGATGGCTTGTCAAGAAGGGACGCTTTGAGGAAGCTGCTGGTGTCTTTGCAGCTCTCGAAGACGTCGACATTGACGATCCCTACGTCATCAGCCAGATCACCTTCGTCAAGGAGTCCATCATGCTGGAGCAGCTTGCCCAGCTCGGTGTTGATGGATCTGCTGCTAGAGAAAA